AGTTGTTGGAGGAAAAAGAAAAGAAACAAGTAGAAAGAGAAAATAAACAAGAAGAGAGATTACAGCAGTTGTTGGAGGAAAAAGAAAAGAAACAAGTAGAAAGAGAAAATAAACAAGAAGAGAGATTACAGCAGTTGTTGGAGGAAAAAGAAAAGAAGCAAGAAGAGATATTACAACAGTTGTTGGAGGAAAAGAAAAGAAACAAGAAGAGAGATTACAGCAGTGGCAAGAAAACCTGCAACAGTGGCAGCTCGAACAGCAAAATAAACAAAAGAGATTACAGCAGTTGTTGGAGGAAAAAGAAAAGAAACAAGAAGAACGAGAAAATAAACAAGAAAAGAGACTACAGCAGTGGTTGGAGAAGAAAGAAAATAAACAAGAAGAGAGACTACAGCAGTGGATGGAGGAGAAAGAAAATAAACAAGAAGAAAGTCTCCAACAATTGAGAAAAAGCCAGAGTACACAAATGGAAAACATTAGTAAATTTCAAAGCAAATTTAATACATTAAAGGATGATTTATTGTCTTTTACACGAGGATGATACATTAACCATTGACTTAATCAGCCCCAAACAACGGCAAGCCCCTTCTAGACCCCACAGTTAAACCCTAATGCAGACATCTGCAGTCCTGTTAGAAGTCATATTCCAGATATGAATGTCAGCAATAGGGGTGATCTAGTAAGAAGGAAGCCACAGGAATTCGATGAGAAGGCACCGTGGGAAGCATATAGAGCACAATTTGAGCTCCTGGCAGAGATGAATGGATGGACAGAGGAGCAGAAAGCAATATATCTGGCAACGAGCTTGAAGGGACAACCACTGAAAATACTTGGACAGTTGTCAGCAGACGACAGGCACAACTATAGAGCACTGGTAGTGGGTCTAGAACTCAGGTATGGAACTCAAAATCAGTCTGAAATCTACAGGGCTAGGTTTAGGACGAGAGTCCGTGCTAAGGGGAGAGCCTGCAAGAGCTGGCACAGGACTTGGAAAGTATGGCACACAAGGCCTACCCAACTGCACCACCCGATCTCCTCAAGTTGTTGCTGAGGGATCAGTTTATAGATGTCTTGGACAGTCCACAACTGAATATACAAGTAAAGCAAGCACACCCCTCTACTATGCAGGATGCAATGGCCAGAGCTTTTGAATTTGAATCCTACGTTAAGTCCAGCACAGAGTTACTAAGGTTGGTACAGTCATCAAGATTCAAAGCCAGAAAAGGGCAGCTTTCACAGAAGTTTGAGGGACTTTGCTGGCACTATGATAAACTTGGACAAAAAAGAGCTCAATGCTAGCAACTCCAACAGCAGAAAAGGCTGCTACCCAGAAAGGTTAAATCTTATGGCTTGTTATTGATAGTACATAGTATTCTTAATTCTCGTGTCTTCTTATTGATAGTACATAGTATCGTTAAATCTCGTGTCTTCTTATTGATAGTACACAGTATTGTTAAATCTTATGACTTGTTATTGATAGTACACAGTATCGTTAAATCTTGTGTTTTCTAATTGATAATATTGGAACTGTGGAGAGCAAGGACATATGAGGAGCCAGTGTAAGAAGAATACTTCCAATAGGTCAGCCTCAGGGAAACCAGTAGTGGTTCGTGTTGAGGGATGCCTACCAACCGTGAAAGTCCCAACATCTAAGTGTAAAATGCCAAGCACACATAGTGTCTACGTGACAGCTAAGCTGGATGGCCAAAGGTGCAACTTTGTCATAGATTCTGCGTCTCAGCAAACCCTTGTGAGTATCAAGATACTGGATCACAAAGGAGTACCAGAAGCCATACAGAAGCTCTGTGGTGTGACAGGACATTCTGCAAGGTTGTGGAGACCAGTATGGTTAACTATTGAGCACATGGGCATGATGAACAGACAGAAAGTATACTTGGCTGACATTGAAGACCAATGCATATTAGGATTGGACTATTTACTTCCGAGGAAGTGTGTAGTTAAGTTCGATAAAATGTCGTTTGGAAACAACAAAGGCCAGATTCCAGTAAGTGTTGCTGCATCTGTTGATTTGCATGTAACAGCACTTAAGTCAAGTAAAATACCTCCCTATGTCAGAGAAGATAATTTGGGGTAGGATAAGGGAACATCCCCATGGAAGCCCAATGCTTGTGGAAGCAGTGGATTTGAAGATTGGATTGTCACTTGTGGCAGGTCATCA